AGAGTGAGGGAACTAGTAGAGGGCAGGAAAGTGAGGAACTAGTAGAGGGGTAGGAGAGTAGTAGAGGGGAGGGAGAGTGAGAACTAGTAGAGGGGGTAGTGAGAGTGAGGGAACTAGTAGAGGGGAGGTGAGAATGAGGGAACTAGTAGAGGAGTAGTGAGAGTGAGGGAACTAGTAGAGGGGTAGTGAGAGTGAGGGAACTAGTAGAGGGGTAGTGAGAGTGAGGGAACTAGTAGAAGGGAGGTGAGAGTGAGGGAACTAGTAGAGGGGAGGTGAGAGTGAGGGAACTAGTAGAGGGGAGGTGAGAGTGAGGGAACGAATACTGTGCTTATTGAGTTATATAAATGTTGGTGAGAAGAGCGAGTATAACGCTAGAATTATTTTTTTCTTCACCATTAGGAGTTACAGAATCATTCACGTACTGTAGTGAAGATGTACAGAGGCAGCAGATACATCGCTGAGTACATATAAAGGGTAATAACCACTAGAAGTGTCTTTGGTGCAGTAGTAAATAATGACAATATCCCAAACAATAATAATAATAATAATATCAGAATCACCAATATTACCACAAAAAATTATCTGATTGTGATTAATATTTTGTTCTATCATTAATAAGTACTTGTACTGATTTTATTTCTTAAATTAAATATTTTTAATATTGGCATACAGATGTTTTGATCATGTTACAAAAATTTAATATAATCAATTACATTAGTGAAGTAAGTTTACAAATTAATAATTTATGATAATGAGAGTGCAGGAATGTTTTATTCTAAATATTTCTATGTTATATATTATGAAGATGATGCGTGAAGACCAGCCAATACAGCTGTGAGTCTCAATCAACACCAGAGTGAGAGACGACCAACACAGACAGACATGCACACATGCAGCCGTTGATGAGAGATGCTGGAATTCTCTCAATAGATAAACGACTCAAGGAAGAATTAACTCGAAATAAAACTAAAACGCAGGTAAATAAATGAGTTAAGTGGTGGACAGGTAACTAGGTATGTAAATATGTTAATAGAAAAAATCGACAAAATGGTCAGCAAGTGTCATCAACCATCAACATAACACAACTGTCCAGGTCAATTACTTCATTCTAACAACTGCAACTTATTATTTCAACCTCATTCAAGATGTTTCACGTCCGAACTAAACCACCCCACATCTGACCCGACATCTGACCCCACACCTGACCCCACAATTGACCCCACACTTCCCTCGAGTTACATACCTTATATTGGATTAAACATATTGCGTATTTCTTTAAGTAATTTCTCTCCACCTGAACCTTACTTACATAAATTAACATCATTAAGTATTGCTACCTTTCACCTGGTTCTATAGGCATCAAGACGTCCCTACAGCCAGGTAACATTGCTAACTGGAAGGCCACCTGGACTATGTAAACAAAGAAATAGTCCAAGTTAAGTGTATATATTTAGTTACTATATATATATATGTATGTAAAAGGTTAAGTGGCATTATTATGAAATTTTAAAAGTGGTATTGGTAGAGTAAAGGGGGAAGTGACACAGGTAATGAGGGAGGTAACAGGTGATGAGAAGGAAGTGACACAGGTAGGATAAACAGGAAAGTGACACTGATATGATAAACAGGGAAGTGACAAGACTCAACATCCTGAGGGAAAACATACTATTGCACTGTTGCATTATTTATCATTATTATGTTAACTTAATACGGAATGGTCCTTAGTAACACAGATAAAAGTACAAACAAATAATAGACCAGTCAACAAGACCTATTTACATATATACACACAGTAACTGGTGTATATAAAGGTGATGGTGAAGGGTTTATTGGCGTTAGTAGGCATTAACAGCTTGCCTCTCCTCCTGAACCACCAACCCCAAGAGATTCAGACTCGTCAATTCGAAGCATTTATGGACAACATAATGTATCAGTCTACTGCTTCGGGTTCACGAGTCTGAATCTCTCGGGGTTGGTGGTACAGAAGGAGAGGTGACAGGACTTGTGTGGGTGACTGTACGTGGTAACGGTTCATTGGCTTTTGTTTGTAATTTCCCGGTTTTTTATTTATATTTAACACAGAGAAAGAACACAGTGGAGATAACTCTTGGGGCGTAATAAAACGCTCGAAGTTAAAAAATATAATTACCTTTTGTGATATATATATATATATATATATATATATATATATATATATATATATATATATATATATATATATATATATATATATATATATATATATATATAAATAATCACTCGAGTGAGTTATAAATCCCTGATGAATTATATGACTCAAGGGAGAATTATAGCAGTAGAGTGTAACACATCCCATGGGTGAAATATACGTCTCTTGGGAGGTGAAATAGAGAGGCAGACATCTAAAAGTTTGACCTTAAACACCTTCACTAAAATGTACAGCAGACACAAACATACATCGGCAGTGCTGAGTGAAGGGTCCTGCGTGACAACAATGTGAGGAAGAGGGAAAACTGCCACCTGCCACCCCTCACCTGCCACCCCTCACCTGCCACCCCTCACCTGCCATCCCTCACCTGCCATCTTTAGCTTCACTCCTCATATCTCCTTCCCACCTGTAGTAACTAATACACAAAATATAAACAATAATATCTAAATGTTTAATCTTATGTCATTATAGAAAATATCCAGATAGACAAGAGGATATTAAGAGTAGGGAAATATCATCATCATTCTCTGCAAATATGAAAGTGTGTGTGTGTGTGTGCGTGTGAGGTGAGAGGAGCGAGGATAACAGTGCGTCTTACCCATCACGGTCGTCACGGCAGGACCCGAGTACAGAGTATAATATTTGTGATACACATTGATGGCCACAACACAATACACCAACCAAATGTAAACAAACCCTTTAAAAATATATATAGAAAATGTATAGATTGTTATTGTTGATTTATATAAAGTTTGTGATTATAATGAAAGGAAAATCATATCTAAAATGAATTCTTACTTTTAGTGTCAATTTATTTGTGGTATTATTGTATTTATTAAGGACTTAGGGAAAAATCAAGTGATCGCTATAGTGTGAACTCTTTGTGACGACATGAACAAGTTTAGTGTTTTATGTGGCAACAGTTTTACCTTTAGATAGTGTTATTAAAGCCACCTGCTGGAGGACCTACAAACTAAATCAAACTAACATCGATATGAACTTATTAATTCATTCATTAATTTCCATCGTATAAGAAATTATGTCAGTTATCTCACTCATCTGTGAATACAAACTCAGTCCCGATACGCTAACAGGAAAAGAGAGATTTTGTTACTAAGAAATACCTGACTTATCACTACTAATCATTCTCATTAATCAGGTGAATCTTTCTCTCGTTAGATCAGGTTACAGAACTTTGATATCTCTTATCTTACCTGTCTCACCTCAGAACCATATCTCTCATCTTGACCAATGTGATAACATATTTAAGAAACAAAGGCAATCATATTACCGTATTACTGTTGTTGTGTACAGTACATTGGGGGGGGGGGTTGTTATGCTGTGTAATTCCGATGTAGCATTTAGACTTTATCTCCATCACTACCACCTCGAGGCCTCCATCTGTGTTGTCCCCTGTCGCCTTACATGACATAACATCACCCATCAACAGTACCGTCAACGACCATACACGCACATCACTGCTTCCTGGATATTCTTTCCTCCACCACTCCCTCCTCACTATCCTTCTTTATCAACATTCAAAGTCTCTCACTAACATTTACAACTTTTAATCTGAATTACCCACCGTAACAGTGTCATCTTGACTTCCCACCTCCTTCACTTTGCATTAATCTTTGCTTTCATCTCTCTTAATATCTCTCCTTCGTTTAAGATAGTATTGGACTATGACGATATTTCACTTCTCTTACTCTTCCCGAAACACACTGACGCAAACATGACTCTTATTGTATATGGGTCTGCAATAATAATAATAATAATTAAGGTTAATATGGTAAAGGTCAGATATGATTTATCTTAAGTTTTCTTAAGTTTATGTTAAGATATGTAATTCATGATAAGATGAGAGATTAGTGTTAAATTTGGCTGTAACTTTCATAAGAGTTTTGTGACCAAAGTTATGAGGACAGTGTTGTTAGTGTTGTGATGTTATCTTAAGTGATGTGGTGTTATCTTTAAGAGTTGTAATGTTATTGTAAGCGTTATTTCGCTAAAGTTAGACTTACGGTGTTATTGCAATGAATATTAAGCTTTTGTGAGTCTCACGTTGTTTTTGCAAGATTTATATGGTTATTAGAAGCCTAACTATGTTATTGCAATACTTCTGGAGTTATTACAAGTTAAAGTATTATCGTAGTTTCTTATGTTATCAAATATTCGATAATGTTATTGTAAGACTTCCAGTGTTGTGACTAACGTTATTTCAAGAGTTCTTAGATGGCGTTATTGAGAAGTTGTTGATGTTATTGTACGATGTATATGATGTTATTGTACGATGTATATGATGTTATTGTTATAGTATTATAATGAGGCTTATAGCGTTTTGGAAAGTTTAAACATTATAATTATAAGTGTCTAAGAGTTACTGTATAGTGTTACTGTAGTGTGTGTGTGTGTGTGTGTGTGTGTGTGTGTGTGTGTGTGTGTTGTGTCGTAGCTTATAAGTTTTAGCTACCGTAGAAGTATGTAATATTACCGTAAGATGTGTAGAGTTAATGATTTTTTTCTCTTAACTGTACACATTACACAGGTCTAACAATGTGACGAGAAGGGCGACTGATGATCATAAGGGTATGTTTTTATCTCCAATACAGTAATACAATTAACCAGATGAGATTCAAGTTCTGCTCCTTATCATGTTTGTCTACCGGCAAAAGGTTTAAACAAATCAAATACAAGTCAAGGGGGGAAAATATTATAAGGGAGTTGATAATATTATTACATATGAGATAAACAAAATAGGATCGGTGATGAAGAGTTGAACTTATTTTAGTGGGGTTGTGACCCTGGGGGGGGGCTTCACTACTCTACCAGAACAACTCGCGCCATGCACACGTACTTTACGACCAAGCTTTACATGAGGCTTTGTGCAAATACCTAAATTTATATACAAGGTGCACTTAATAACATCAGTATGAGTATTATGTAGGAAATATAAACATCGTTTATGTACAACTTGCAATGACACTTACAAACACATCAGCTAAAACACACACACACACACACACACACACACACACACACACACACACACACACACACACACACACACACACACACACACACACACACACACATAACACATAGATGTAATGTCACATAGGCTGTGGCGGTATGCCAAGTGGTGACGTCACGACGGAGAAGGGAGGAATCTCTCTTGTGACTTGTTTCCATAATGCAATTGAAAGACTTGCGAGAATGATGGAATTCACGAATTATTTTTTGATGAGAGGGAGAGAGATGCATTCCCTGGTTCTCTTGATAACTGCAGTAGTAGTAGTAGTAGTAGTAGTAGTAGGTGTGGCTGTAAGGGAAGGTTTGAGGCCACTTTAAATAAGTAAATGTAATAGTCGTAGTAGTAGTACATGTAGTAGTAGTTTTATCTGTAGTATCGTTAGTATACACGGTATTAACAGTTGGTAAGAATTACTATAACAGTATGGGAGATTTCTCAGAATTCGCTCTGCATATTTTCTTTGAACAAACTCGTACAGTATGTCATCATCTTAGGACAACCGCTGAACTGAGAAGGCGGTATACGTACACTCGTATTTACACACATTTTAATGCACGCACACATGTACACATAAACAAGAACTCCCGCACACTGGTGGACATGATCAACTAAATGTACACAAAGAAATTTTCCCAACGACCATTCGTCGTCTTCTGTGGGCTCAGATTCAGAAGACGCATATGGTGATTGGACAAAACAACTAACCAATGACGATGAGGAAAGACTCGTTTTTTAATTGGTCAAGAACACTGTCCAATGAGGATAGACGAGAGCTCGTAATGGTCAAAACTTTAGAGCAATGGCGAAACTAGTCAACCTTTTACTCTAAAGATTTAATCTATGAGACATAATTACGAGTCTTTTTACAATAGATAGTTTAGATTTTATGAAACCAAAGTTAAGACATGGAGAGAGAGGGAGAGTTGTGCAGACCTTAGAAAAAGAGCACCATAGTACATGTAACAAAAGACATGTATTAAAAAAAATAGATAAAAAAACAAAACACATTTCAAAGTGTTATATCAGACTCACTCCTGCACCTACAGCGTGATACAACAGTAGGCCAGAGGTGCTTCTAGTGCCCCAACAGGAAATAGTAGTTGTCTTTATACCTATCCTGGGGAACTAGGGCTGATATGTCATTGTTCTACCACACTGCCAGGTTAGTGGGTGTGGTGGGCGTGTGGTACCTTATACCCTCAGTGCCTGCTGGTAATAGTTAAGGATTGTCTGATTAATATGATCAACAGTATAATCCATCTTCTTGCTGTCTGGTGGTAATGTTTTTGTTAGCTGGTGACAGATGATCCACACGTGATAAATTATTCTTCACTGGGGATCCTCTGGTGTGTGTGATGTATAATTTTAGTTTTCCTCTGCCTTTAATTATTTTTCATTTAAGGGATTTCATTCATCCGCTATTTGATCTATAATATTTTTGCTTATAATGATCACATGAATTTATTGAAACTGGAGTTCATTCTTCTGTCTATTTTCTGTTTCGGAATCAAAATAATTTGTTTATATTTATCCTATTATTGTTTATATCAGCGTTAGTAAATATCTTAAACTGTAGCATGAATATTTCAAGGGATTTTATTTTAGTTCTAGATAAATTATAATTCATCACCACACATCACAAATTCTGTACCTTTTTTTATTTTATTTTTTTTATTTTGTTTCCTGTTTTCCTTTTTTCTTTGGGCATTTTTTTGTTTCTCCTTCAGACATATTGTTGCAATTTTAGTTTTCTTGGAACTAAGAGGAAAAAATGGTTAATTTTTCTTCATATTGGATTACATACAGTTCGACACACACACCAAAACGAACTTGTCACTAAACCTTCATTCACATTCTACGTCTTCATATTACTGTAGTAGAGAGACTTTTTGTAGTATTTTCGATATAAAGCGTCTGTACTCACTGTCATCCTGTATCGCATTTTTGTGTATGCACTAAGTACCTCATTTCGTCCTACAAACATTGAAAGATCACTCCAATGCACTAAAATTCGGAGAGATTTTCTTCCTGCGCACTCAAGTCAGAGGACACACTTGGCACATAGCACTCAAGAATTTTTTTGCATCGTTTAAACAAGTTGTATTATAGGAGTCACAACAGTAGTATGTATGTGCAATAATTCCCGTAGTATCTTTGGTATGTTATCATCTGATTGGAATAAGTAAATAACACTAATGATATGGTATTTTCACCCACGCGGGGGATAACGGACGAGCTAAGAACATCATGGACACAGAAATATGAAAACAATACCTATCTTGATCATTGGTATAGACACAATACCTTAATAGTAAATAATGAGAGTCATAAGTGCTCGTATAACGCTATTTTTAACTTATGGAATTAACACTTTGTCATCCGAACATTGTGATGCCTCCATGAAGTCTTGCGTTTATCCCTCGTTAACTCAGTTGTGGGACGTCGACAGGGATGTAGGTATGGCAGTATCTTCGACGACCATTGGTATTCTTGAGAGGGTCGGGAGGTCACCGGCGCCATAGGCAGATCATCCACAACAGTGATTTCAAAAAGACTGGAAGGTTCTCTGTGACTGTCAAGCGTGTCCTTCCAGTAACTCCTGAAAGTCCTTCCCGGGACCCCAAACATTACTGGGTTGATCAAGAGCCACGAGGAGTGACGAAGTGGTGACAGTCTTCACGGTTCAGTGACCCACAACACCAGTGAACAAACATGGTACAATAACAACATTGGATCAGGGTCTTCCACTAAACCCTAAGTCTAGAGTCAACACTGACGACGAGTGAGAGTAACATTCAGGCGGCCATCTAGTAGACTTGCGTCTCCTTCAAAGAAGTGCCTCGTTCTCCATTGCCCCTTGACTTCCTCCCTCTGTAGCTGTGCGTGAGGGTGTTCCTGGCACCGTCTGCAGTTTCACGCCCTCCGACCCTGCGTTGAAAAAATGAAATATTAGTATCTGAGGACATATTGAGAGAATAGGATTAAAGATATAATGAAAATAATAAATGGTGAACAAGTAATACATACAGTAGTAATATATATCACTCTTGGTAGGGTGACATCCATCAGTTTGTTGTGGGGAAAATAAGAACACAGGAGGCAGACGGCTGTACACCGACCCTTAACTCCACAGTATAGTATAGTATAGTATAGTATAGTATAGTATAGTATAGTATAGTATAGTATAGTACTACTATACTGTACTATACTATACTATACTATACTATACTGTACTGTACTATACTATACTATACTATACTATACTATACTATACTATACTGTACTATACTATACTATACTATACTATACTATACTATACTATACTATACTATACTATACTGTACTGTACTGTACTATACTGTACTGTACTGTACTGTACTATACTATACTATACTATACTATACTATACTATACTATACTGTACTATACTATACTATACTATACTATACTATACTATACTATACTGTACTATACTATACTATACTATACTATACTATACTATACTGTACTGTACTATACTATACTATACTGTACTGTACTGTACTGTACTGTACTGTACTGTACTGTACTATACTATACTATACTATACCATACCATACTATACTATACTATACTATACTGTACTCTACTGTACTGTACTGTACTATACTATACTATACTATACTATACTGTACTGTACTGTACTGTACTGTACTGTACTGTACTGTACTATACTATACTATACTATACTATACTATACTATACTATACTATACTATACTATATTATACTATACTATACTGTACTGTACTGTACTGTACTGTACTGTACTGTACTGTACTGTACTGTACTATACTATACTATACTATACTATATTATACTATACTATACTATACTATACTATACTGTACTGTACTGTACTGTACTATACTATACTTATACTATACTATACTATACTATACTATACTATACTGTACTGTGCTATACTATACTATACTATGCTATACTACAATATACTGTACTGTACTATACTATACTATATTATACTATACTATACTATAGTATAGTATAATATAGTATAGTACAGTGCAGTATAGCATAGTATAGTATAGTATAGTATAGTATAGTATAGTATAGTATAGTATAGTATAGTATAGTGCAGTACAGTACAGTACAGCATAGTATAGTATAGTATAGTATAGTATAGTATAGTATAGTATAGTATAGTATAGTATAGTATAGTATAGTATATTTTAAATTTCATACAAAGGAACTAATTTATACACTGATTAAGGATCTGGGCACACAATTTAAAAATTCGAGTAATTTTTGTTAATTTATAATCTTGGAAATAATTAAAGATATTTAAAAAGTCAATTACGCCGTGGCCGGACAGATGGCCGAAGGACATTTGGCCGACGGACGTTTCACCGACGGACATTTGACCGAACGGACATCGAGTCGACGGACATTTGGCCGAACGGACAATAGACCGAACAGACAAATGGCCGAACGGACAAATGTATTTTTTTGCACATTTACTAAAGGATAACAGATATTAATTGTAATGTAATTGCTTTATAAAAATTACTTCAGTCTTGTGCTTAATATCTGGTAGACGTCGGAAATTATCAGCATTATTTTCCCCAATTTCAATTTAACTAATGAATTACAAGGACTGAGAGAGGTTTATGTACACAGGGTGACCTTACAAAACATGAGGTCAGGTCAAAAACATGACATCCCCTAATCCACACACTAACACCACCACAAACACAAAAGAAAGGGCGACGTAACTAGTCATGTTAAGTCAGGTCAAGTTTGTAGCCACGCCCCAAACGACGACGACGACGACGTCGTCGTCGTCGTCGTCGTCGTCGTCGTCGTCGTCGTCGTCGTCGTCGTCGTCGTCGTCGTCGTCGTCGTCGTCGTCGTCGTCGTCGTCGTCGTTGTTGTTGTTGTTGTTGTTGTTGTATTTAATATTTTTTCTTTTAAGACCATGGAATTACATTACAATTAATATCTTTTATTCTTTAGTAAATGTGCAAAAAATACATTGCAAAGAAGAAAGAAAAAAAAAGAAAAAGGCCATATGTCCATTCGGCCAAATGTCCGTTCGGCCATTTGTCCGTTCGGTCTATTGTCCGTTCCGCCACATGTCCGTCGGCTCGATGTCCGTTCAGTCAAATGTCCGTCGGTGAAACGTCCGTCGGCCAAATGTCCTTCGGCCATCTGTCCGGAAGCCAATTACGCTGTGCCCGTAAGTTTTAAATCACGTTAATATACATTTTCTTAAAAATAGAGACTATCAGGGTGTCTACTGGTCTGGAAAACCTGGAAAAGGTCGGGAATTTTATTTGAAGCTGGAGAACCTGGAAAAGCAAGGGAATTTTACAAATAAACCTGGAATTTTATGTGAATTCAGTTCAAATTCAAAATATTATTTTGACAGCAATATTACCATAAATTAATGATGTACTATATAATAGGTATATAATTAAACTTTTAGGAACAAATTCCAGTAAATAGTCCACTCCAATAACTGAATTGTTTATGTGCCTATCATATTTCACGTTAGTGATCAAATAACCAAATATTACAGATTATACCTACTGATTCTGTGATGACTTTTGTCAGAGATGAATCGTTCTTATAATTAAACGACTTTATTTCAGTGGATTAATCCACATATTAATCATGAATCATATAGGTGGATCAGGAGTGTGATTTTTCGATTTTTGCCGGATTTCAGCTTTTGGGGAATTTTCAGGCCCACCCACGTGAATCGCACTAATATCCGAGAAGAAACATATGGAAGGAGGGGGTGTGAAAGTCTTCGCCGATGTTCATCACTAGACTTGGGGTGGGTCACGAAAGGGTCTTCAATTTCTTGATTAATATCATGTATATTATCCTTAAAATTTCCAATAGTATATACATATTATTGAAAACCTCTATTTTTTAATCCTGTTGTAATAAACACCAAATTAATGTACCTGGAATAGTTCAAGTTTACTCCTGGAAAACCTGGAAAAGCAAGATAATTTTTTTTCTGGCCATTAGACACCCTGAGTATAGTATAGTATAGTATAGTATAGTATAGTATAGTATAGTACAATACAGTACAGCACAGTACAGTATAGTATAGTATAGTATACAGTGCAGTACAGCATAGTACAGTACAGTATAGTATAGTACAGTATAGTATAGTATAGTATAGTATAGGGAGAAGCTAACTACTCAATATTACTACCGTCTAGAACACGTGGTAAATAGTGTTTTTTTTATTAATGTGTAACTTTGTATTGTTTCTCTTGAAGTAAACATTTTCCTTTTTATTTCATTAATAGATTCATAAATGATATACATTCTCTCTACTCACTTGTTCGTCATCAATTACGATACTGAGCTACAATACCTGTGATGATAACTGAGTGGCATCACAACACACTTCACATCACACCTCACTTTACTCTTGAGAATGACTATACTTTTGTGGGCTAACTTACGTGTGGAAAATCTACAATACATTCCTAAATAGAGTGATTCTGTTCACCTATTAACATACTTACAATATATCCATCTCTAAAACATTCCTTACTGATGATATATGCGATTGCTACAACACATTCCGGAGTTTTGTTACTTGTTAAGAATCTACAACTGGCTCTACTGGTCTAACCACACATTCTTGGACTTGGCTAGTTAACTGGGCCTACTACAGTTGTTTTCCCTACTGCACTACAACACTCCTCTCTGCTTACGTGTGTCTTCCACCCTCATCCTCCACGGTGTGTTTTATTATCCGTCCTTTAACTTTTCCTGTAGGAGTATAAGTCGTGTTGAAGGATGAAGGATATGAAGGATATGTATACCAACAAATAAAACAATATACTTTTATCTAAACACATCCTAAAAATTAATAAAAACACTGAATTTCTCCATAACACGCATCACCATTTTTTTTTGGGGGGTATACACTCAATGGTTTTATACACACAAAACACGACTCAATGAGGGGGTTGGTGGGGGCTATGTGAAAGAGGGGAGGGGTGAGGCCTGTGGGAGAGAGAGAGAGACAGTGGGGTGGTGAGGACTGTGAGAGAGAGAGAGAGAGAGAGAGGGGGGCTGGTGGGGCTGGGGCAGAATGGGGCTATTATATCACTATCCTGCCCATCATGAAGGCATTGTACACGGATGGATGCTACGTAGCGTCATTGTATCCATCCTGAGTACCTGATTGCCACAGATTTGCATGATCAATATTTCGATAGGAATTTTTTTTTTTTGTAATGGGAGGTAAAGTTGTCGTTTTTTTTAAACTTTGCATTGGGGAATTTATAAAAAAAAAAGGAAAAGCTTTACTCCAGGGGAAATGTGAACCTAAAAATGTGAAGGTAGAAACATGAACCCAAAAATGTGAGCCTAGAAACATGAGCCAAGAAATGTGAGCCTAGAAATGTGAGCCTAGAAATGTGAGCCTAGAAATGTGAGCCTAGAAACATGAACCTATAAATGTGAACCTAGAAACATGAGCCAAGAAATGTGAGCCTAGAAATGTGAGCCTAGAAAAATGAGCCTAGAAATGTGAAGCTAGAAATGTTTCCCTCACCTTTCTGCGACTATTGACCAGAGGCAGAGACCCTCAGTACTCTTAGTGTGTGTTTGTTACTGCCAGGCGAGTTTTTTTCCAGTATACGTCCTTAAACAGGTACAGTATATACAGGTAAACTGAATCAATATTGCCAACTGGTTGAGGAAACACTTGACCGTATTGAACCATTTAGGAAAGATTAATGAATAGAGGGATTAAATGAGGAATAGAGGGATTTAATGAGGAACAGGGGGATTTAATGAGGAATAGAGGGATTTAATGAGGAACTGGGGGATTTAATGAGGAATAGAGGGATTTAATGAGGAACTGGGGGATTTAATGAGGAAATGTGGATTTAATGAGGAACTGGGGGATTTAATGAGGAACTGGTGGGTTTAATGAGGAACTGGGGGATTTAATGAGGAACTGGGGGGTTTAATGAGGAAATGTGGATTTAATGAGGAACTAGTGGGTTTAATGAGAACTGGTGGGCTTAATGAGAAATGGGGGATTTAATGAAATGGGATTAAATGAGGAACTGGGGGATTTAATGAGGAACTGGGGGTTTAATATGGTACAGTACATAGATATGTATGTATGTATGTATGTATGTACAAGTATATGTATGTACTGTAGGTATGTATGTATGTATGTACTGAAGGTATGTATGTATGTATGTATGTATGTATGTATGTATGTACAGTATGTATGTATGTACTGTAAAGTATGTGTATGTATGTACTGAAGGTATGTATGTATGCATGTATGCATGTATGTATGTACTGCAGGTATGTATGTATGTATGTATGTATGTATGTATGTATGTATGTATGTATGTATGTATGTACAGTATGTATGTATGTATGTATGTACAGTAGGTATGTATGTATCTATGTATGTATGCATGTATGTATGTATGTAGTATGTATGTATGTACTGTAGGTATGTATGTATGTATGTATGTACTGTATGTATGTATGTATGTACTGTAGGTATGTATGTATGTATGTATGTACTGTATGTATATGTATGTATGTACTGTGTGTATGTATGTATGTATGTATGAACTGTATGTATGTATGTATGTACAGTATGTATGTGTTCGGTCAGGTACACAACACGTTACTTTAATATAAGGCCTCACAATATCATCTCCCATATACCTCCAAGTTTCCTCAGTAATGAGCACCACCACCACCTTTACTCCTTACTCACTCACACCTCCTCATCTCTCTCCTCTCTTCACCTTACTCGCCTCCACCTGTCTCACCTCTCTCCTCTTCACCTTCTCGCCTCACCTGTCTCCTCTCCTCTCTCCACCTTACTCGCCTCACCTGTCTCAACTCCTCCTCTCTCTTCCTGCACTTGCCTCACCTGTCTCATCTCTCCTCTCTTCACCTTTACTCGCCTCACCTGTCTCACCTATCCTCTCTTCACCTTTACTCGCCTCACCTGTCCTCTCCTCTCTCCACCATTACTCGCCTCACCTGTCTCAACTCTCCTCTCTCTTCTCCTGTACTTGCCTCACCTGTCTCACCTCTCCTCTCTTCACCTTTACTCGCCTCACCTGTCTCACCTCGCCTCTCTTCACCTTTAATCGCCTCACTTGTCTCACCTCTCCTCTCTCCACCATTACTCGCCTCACCTGTCTCACCTCTCCTCTCTCTTCACCTGTACTCGCCTCACCTGTCCCACCTCTCCTACCTTTCTCTCTCACTCAGTCAACACATCAAGACTATTGCCACACATAGCTTCAAACTGATCTTTTCTCTTATCATTAACTCCACGTGCAGTCAAGTAGTACGAGTAGTTAATGATCTGAACCGAGGAACACACAAGACCGGAGTGTAGATCTTGAAGCCATTACGATATGTCAGATTTCCACCCAACATATACAAGGCTTCAGAGGGAGGGAGGAGAGAGGTGAAGACAGAGAAGTGAGAGGCAAGGCAAGGCTGGCTCAGCCTATAATTGATTGCTGGTTAACAGGAACAAGACATTAAGACAAGTGTAGCAGCCATTACCATGATTGACGGAGGCGGCGCTGGAGGCTGTTGGCGCCTTCTTGTAGGTGGCGCTGTTCATGGTGAGTTTACGAACGTTCTTGTCGGGGTGGAAGACGATGATGTAGATCTTGGGGGAGTAGAGACACACCAGCGCTACCGACGCCGACAAGGAGATGGCCACACACAGGGTAGTGATCTGTACCTGTGAGAGAGAGAGACGGTTACTCACGATGGCCACACACAGGGTAGTGATCTGTACCTGTGAGAGATAGAGACGGTTACTCACGATGGCCACACACAGGGTAGTGATCTGTACCTGTGAGAGAGAGAGACGGTTACTCACGATGGCCACACACAGGGTAGTGATCTGTACCTGTGAGAGATAGAGACGGTCACTCAGGAGGTTCACCGACTGACAGGTAAATACAGTGAAACCTCCATATAACGGACTTTTCTCTCCATATAATCCGTTAGATGGAGGTTTCATATCTAACGGGCCCTCGATATAACGGACTATACTCTCCATATAGTCCGTTAAATAGAGGAAATGTCCATATTATCCTGGTTATATTATTGTATGAAGGTATATATGCTGAAAGAATATACGAAGACTTTATTAAGATCTTGAGGTATACATTATACAGTGGTTGAAATAAAAGATTGAGAGTATATACCACACTTTTGATGATTGTTTTGCAAGTATATATCGTAGTTTGGTCGTTAGAGGGGCAATAGGTAGTCACATCCGACGCTGGGACCACCGTTCACTGCCACCACACAAATGAACACTCCCTCCCATAATCATTGGTGACTTAATCTAATAACGTCGAATTAAACTCACCGTGAGACATCTCGAGGCAGTGAGAGGGATGTGTGAGAGAGAGGTGTGAGAGGGATGTGTGGTGTGAGAGGGAGGCGTGGTGTGAGAGGTGTGATGTGAGAGGGAGGTGTGAGAGAGAGGCGTGAGAGGACTCGTGTGAGAGGTCTGGTGTGAGAGGTGTGATGTTAGAGGTGTGGTGTGAGAGGGAGGTGTGGTGTGAGAGGTGTGGTGTGAGAGGGAGGTGTGAGAGAGAGGTGTGGTGTGGGGAAGTGTGAGGTGTGGGGAGACGGAGGTGTGTGTGAGACGGAGGTGTGATGTGAGAGGTGTGGTGTGAGAGGGAGGTGTGAGAGGTGTGAGAGGTGTGGGGTGTGAGGTGAGGAGGTGTGATGTGTGTGGTGTGAAAGGTGTGAGTGTGATGAGAGGTGGGTGAGGTGTGGTGTGAGAGGTGTGGGTTTGAGTGGTGTGGTGTGAGAGGAGTGGTGTGAGAGGTGTGGTGAGAGGGAGGTGTGAGAGAGAGGTGTGTGTGGTGTGAGAGGTGTGGGTGTAAGAGGTGTGATGTGAGAGGTGTGTGTGGTGTGAGAGGGAGGTGTGAGAGGTGTGATGTGAGAGGAGGTGTGAGAGGTGTGGTGTGAGAGGTGTGATGTGAGGTGTGGTGTGAGAGGGAGGTGTGAGAGAGAGGTGTGGTGTGGGGGTGTGGTGTGGAGGTGTGATGTGAGAGGTGTGGTGTGAGAGAGGTGTGGTGTGAGGAGGAGTGTGTGAGGTGTGATGTGAGAGGTGTGATGTGAGAGGGGTGGTAGGTGTGTGTGAGAAGGTGTGGTGTGAGAGGTGTGATGTGAGGTGTGGTGTGAGAGGTGTGATGTGAGGGAGGTGTGAGAGGTGTGATGTGAGAGGGAGGTGTGGTGTGAGGTGTGGTGAGAGGTGGTGTGATGTGAGAGGGAGGTGTGAGAGGTGTGGTGTGAGAGGGAGGGGAGAGTGTGAGAGGGGAGGTGGTGTGAGAGGTGTGTGGTGTGGAGGTGTGAGGAGAGAGGTGGTGTGTGGGAGGTGTGAGAGGGAGGTGTGGTGTGAGAGGAGGTGTGATGTGGTGTGAGTGGGTGTGATGTGAGAGGTGTGATGTGAGGGGGTGTGGTGTGAGGTGTGGTGGGGGAGGTGTGGTGTGAGAGGGAGGTGTGGTGTGGGGGTGGTGTGAGAGGGGAGGTGTGGTGTGAGAGGGAGGTGTGGTGTGAGGAGGGAGGTGTGGTGTGAGAGAGGGGGTGTGGTGTGAGAGGTGTGATGTGAGGGGGTGTGATGTGAGGTGTGATGTGAGAGGTGTGGTGTGAGAGGTGTGGTGTGTGAGAGGGTGTGGTGTGAGAGAATGTGGTGTGAGAGAGGAGGTGTGAGGGGTGGTGTGAGGAGGTGTGATGTGAGGAGGTGTGGTGTGAGAGGTGTGATGTGAGAGGTGTGGTGTGAGAGGTGTGGTGTGAGAGGTGTGTGGTGTGAGAGGGGAGGTGTAGAGAGAGAGAGGGTGTGAGGAGGTGTGGTGTGTGAGAGGTGTGGTGTGAGAGGGAGGTGTGAGAGAGATGTGAGAGAGAGTTGTGGTGTGAGAGGTGTGGTGTGGGGGTGTGGTGCAAGAGGGAGGTGTGAGAGAGAGGTGTGGGAGGTGTGGTGTGAGAGGTGTGGGTGGGGAGAGTGTGAAGAGAGAGATGTGAGAGGAGTTGTGGTGTGAGAGGTGTGGTGTGAGGGAGGTGTGAAGAGATGGATTTGTGAGAGGTGTGGTGTGGGGATTTGTGAGAGAGGTGTGAGAGGTGTGGTGTGAGAGGTGTGATGTGAGAGGTGTGGTGTGAGAGGGTGTGGTGTGAGAGAGGGTGTGGAGGTGTAGTATGAGGAGGTGTGGTGTGAGAGGGAGGCGTGAGAGGGAAGTGTGAGAGGGAGGTGTGAGAGGTGTGGTGTGAGAAGGAGGTGTGAGAGATGTGATGTGAGAGGTGTGGTGTGAGAGGTGTGGTGTGAGAGGGAGGTGTGAGAGGAGGGTGAGAGGAGGTGTTAGGGGTGTGGTGTGGTGGAGCTTCTTGGTCCTCTCCGTTTGGTTAGGTAAGGTCAGGTCAGTTTAGGAAAATTGTTAGGTTAGGTGTCGACCATGCTGCTCTCAGGCGTCAGTTGGATCGGTATGTACTAATAATTTACGAGCCAATAATATTTTAAGCACTTCAAGGCCTGTATTTTACATAAGAGTCTTTACGCGCCTCTGTCAATATTGCCGCTTCGTGAATCTTCACTTAATACGTTCACATTTTAGGAGAAGAGAGACAGTAGGAAAAAGTAGAGGTTAAGTTAGGTTAGGTGAGGTCATCCCATCTAGATGTCACCCCGACTCTGTGGTCACCAAATCTAAGGTCACCCAACCCTGAGGTCACCTCCACTCTGGAGTCACCCAGTCTGAGGTCACCCACTCTGAGGTCACCCCCACTCTGAGGTCACCCCACCCTAGGCTTGCCCCCACCTGAGGTTTTCCCCACTTTGGTCCATCACCCTGAGGTTTGCCCCACCCTGAGGTCACACCCACCAAGTGGTCACCCAGCCTGGGTCGCCCATTCTGAGATCACCCCCCACCTGAGGTCGCCCCCACCCTGAAGTCTACTCTGAGGTTGCGCCTCCTGAGGTCACATCCACCCTGAGTCACCCCACCCTGAGTCGCCCTCTCGAAGTCACAATCACCTGAGGTTGCCCCCACTCTGAGGTCACCCCACTCTGAGGTCACTCACAAACAGGTCACCCCCACCTGGGAGTGCCCCCCCACCCTGAGGTCGCCCCACCATGAGGTCGCCCCCACACTGAAGTCGCCCCCCACACTAAGTCGCCCCCCACCCTGGTTCACTCCCCTACCTGAGGTCCCCCCCACAAGTCCCCCTCCTGGTCGCCCCCACTGAGGTGCCCCCCACACCCTGAGGTCGCCCCCCCACCTGAGGTGCCCCCCCCCCTGGGGTCCCCACCCTGAGGTCGCCCCCACCCTGAGGTCGCCCCCCACCGTGAGTCGCCCCACCTGAGGTCCCCCCCCACCTGAGGTCGCCCCCCCACCCTGGGTCGCCCCCACCCTGGGGCTCCCCCACCTGGGTCCTCCCACCCTGAGGTCATCCCCCACCCCACTTGACCATTAAACCCCCACTTTGGAATAAATTTTTACGGTCTCACTGCTACAGTACCCCCCTCCCCTTCTTCTCTCTCATTTTTCTCTGTTCGTGAGTTACTTTTTTTGTCTTGTTTGACTTGTAAGTATACTAAAGTTACTTCATTATATCCTGCTTAGGTTAGGTTGGGTTAGGTTAGGTTAGGTTAGGTTAGGTTAGGTTATGTTAGGTTGGGTGCTGGTGTCTCCCTAACCGGTCTCTCCCCCTTCAGTGCCAAGGTAAGCCACAATTATTTTTATATTTCGTTAATTTTTTCTGAACGTAAGCCATCCTAAATAACAGAACTGGAGTTGACCTTTATGTGTGTGTCCAGGGGCTCAGCTGTCCCTGCCGTCTGATAATGTTCGCGCCTCCTGACAGCTCTAACTTGTCATGGCTGTCACATATATCCTCACTACCGGCTGTGTATGTCAACGTTCTTCTAAAGATTTCTGCCTTAAATATTATCTGTATATAGTGAAATGTGATGGGGAGGTGTGTGTGTGTGTATAGATATGTGTGTGTGTGTAGGTGCGTGTGTGCGTGTATGTGTGTAAATATTAAGCCTCCATTGCACTCCACCGCCTTCACCTCCCAAATTAAACTCAAAATGGGTTGACTAAGGATGTCCAGGGTTCGAACAAGGCGACTCTTAGGACGGAGATGGAGCACAGTAACCACTCAGCCACCGCACCCCTAAATTTTTACACAGTTAATTCGAGTTTGAAGAGTTACCACATATCCATTTAGTTATTGTCGATATTTAAAGCTGTAGTATTTGAACTGTATACAACATTAACTTTAGATACAGTTAACATCCTACCACCACACCTAAACGACACCTCTCTAACTACATGTAACTACTGATAGATATATAACACAAAAAAAATACACAAACTTTTAAATTTATACTTTCCAGATTCTTAAAATGTTGCTGGAGGGAGGACAGGTGAGGAGGACAGGTGAGGGAGGACAGGTGAGGAGGAGGCAGGTGAGGAGGACAGGTGAGGGAGGACAGGTGAGGGAGGCAGGTGAGGGAGGACAGGTGAGGAGGACAGGTGAGGGAAGGAGTGGGTGAGGGGAGGGACAGAGGTGAGGGAGGACAGGTAGGAGGAAGGACACAGGTGAAGGAGAACACAGGTGAGGAGACACAGGTGAGGGAGGACACAGGTGTGGGAGGGACACAGGTGAGGGAGAACGCAGGTGGGGGAGGACACAGGTGAGGAGGACCACAGGTGGGGAGGA